AACCTTCAGAGAGTCGTGCGTAGTTAGCTCAAAACAGAATTATAATCCCAAAAACCTCTGGATTCTTCATTGCTCTCTTGGACTCTTCATTGCTCTGAAACTTTCAGAACCGGCTGCACTCTCAATCTCAATCTCAATCTAACATGAACTGGGAAGTTGCCACATTTTATTTGGGTCGACTTCCTGTTCAATTTAGAGCTTTCTGATTCGTGGAAGGACCAGAAAGAGGAGTGGTTTTGACGTAAGGTGTTTATCAACAGTCGAGGTCAGAGAATGAAATTTGTTTTCACATACAGAAAAGATTATTGCAGCAACAGCAGACTTCGTGGAGTCAACTCTTGGTAATCTTCTGAAAAAGTTTAAACATGACATTTTTCTCGGTAAACATTTTAGTTGACCGAAAACCAACCTTTCACATACTTACGACTTGACTCATTTCAGACAGAAAATCAAGGAATGCTTATTCAGGTGATTTCTTCTTGGAATGAGGAATAAAAATCATTACTTACTGTTTATGTAAAATAAAGATGAGTAGTTCTTTTCAACCTATAAGCATTGAGTGAACTAACACAATTTGATTATCAAAACATTTGTAAGACAGTAATGACTATAAAGAATTGTCTTTTCTGCTTGATTAATTCAAGAAAGAAAGTCATCAGATGGCCCAGACTTATTCAGATCAATGGAAATAACAGTCTCTGTCCATCTGGTAGATTTGAGGTCATCTGGTTCACTACACAGATGAGTGATTGACAGCAGTCAGGGAGTGGAGATCAGAGGACAGAACCTCAGGGGAAATGTTTTTAAAGTCACGGAACTGGATAAGTCGTTTAGGATTAGGAGCAGATGAAGTTGAAGGCACTTCCAGGGAGATGACACTGTGGTCTGAGACACCCAGGTCATAGACAGATAAGTTATTGATAGGTACAGTGTCTGTAATCACCAAATCCAGAGTGTGCCCCCTGTTGTGCGTAGGGGCGTCAACATACTGAGTGAGATTGAGAGAATCCAAAAGGGACTTAAACTCTGCTGCCAGAGGGGAAGAGGAATTATCAATGTGGATATTTAAATCTCCAAGAATAATATTTTTCACAGGAGATGCGCAGAAAAAAGTGAGGAGGTCATGCATCTCTGAGTTAAATGAAACATGTGGTTTGGGAGGCCGATAAATCAATAACATTCATCAGGAAGGGGGCTTTGAGGTTGAAGGCCAAACATTCAAAAGACAAGAAGTCCCGAGAAGCTAAATGTGATCATTTTAAATTACTGCGGTAAATTACAGCCAGACCACCACCACGGCCAGTGCAGCGGGCTTTCTGCAGGTAACTGTATCCAGAGGGACAGGCTTCATTCAGAGAGCTGTACACATCTGGTTGATGCCATGTTTCAGTAAGGCACAAGAGGTCCAAATTCTTCTCCAGAATATGATCATGAATAAGACATGATTTATTGGATAGCGATTGAACATTGAAAAGTTCTATTTTAATAATGGTTGGAGTAGAAGCCTTTAGAAGAGGTTTAAGCAGCCTGAAGTCCACTCCACGTTTTCCTTGCCACTTCGTGCGCTGTGTTCTTTCAGCAATATCAGGGACTACAGAGGCAGCGTTCTGATGATGTAATCGATGTGCGGCAGGACCGGTAGACCAGATGGAAGGGATGGAGTCAGACCCAGCTTGCCGAGAGTAAACAGTTCTCTTCCGAGAGCCTCTATGGACATAACGAGGTCTACGCAGAAGGCCCAGTTGTTTAATGGTAGAAACAGAAGGAGGGATGGAGCAGTTATTAAGTCCAATCAGCTGGGAGGCGGAGTAGGTCAACATCGACGAGCCAGCCAAGCCGGGGGAAGCTAGCACAGAGCTAGCCGCTAACAGCAGACCCACAGCTCCGAAAAGGATATCCAAAAGGCAGTGCGATGTAATCCACAGCATAGCACAGGAAAAAAATCCAGCAAAAGATGACAAACTGGAACAATCCAGATGACACAGGAGGTTGACAGAAGCAGCAAGGTGAGCGCAATAGTTGCTAGTTCTTCAAGCAAAGTCCGAGCCGCCGTGCTGGAGTTGTATGTTTGACAGCAATAGTCCCAAATTCCTGTTAGGGAGTGCTAATAAGCTGTCTGTTATAAGTACTGATTGAGAAATTACTGAACAAAAAGTCCAGATAAATGTCCACGAATATAGCAACAGTATAATGACTTTTTAGCGCGGAGAAGCAGCGAACATGCAGCGCCAGCGTCCTCTCTCGTCCAATAAAGCGGTACGCCACCAACACTGTTTATAGTGGGAGTGGTGCGCTGCTGACCTCAACTCGGGATGTCGTGGGTCGGTGGGCAGAATACTTTGAAGACCTCCTCAATCCTACCGGCACGTCTTCCACTGAGGAAGCAGACCCTGGGGACTCTGGGTCAGGCCCTCCAATCTCTGGTGCTGAGGTCACCGAGGTGGTTAAAAAGTTCCTCGGTGGCAGGGCCCCGGGGGTGGATGAGATTTGCCCAGAGTTTCTTAAGGCTCTGAATGTTGTAGGGTTGTGTTGGCTTACGCGACTCTGCAATATTGCGTGGACATCGGGGGAAGTTCCCCTGGATTGGCAGACCGGGGTGGTGGTCCCCCTATTCAAAAAGTGGGACTGTAGAGTGTGTTCCAACTACAGGGGGATCACACTCTTAAGCCTCCCTGGTAAGGTCTATTCGGGGGTTCTGGAGAGGAGGGTCCATCGGATAGTCGAACCTCGGATTCAGGAGGAGCAGTGCAGTTTTCGTCCTGGTTGTGGAACACTGGACCAGCTCTACACTCTCAGCAGGGTCCTGGAGGGTGCGTGGGAGTTTGCCCAACCGGTCTACATGTGCTTTGTGGACTTGGAGAAGGCGTTCGACCGCGTCCCTCGGGGAACCCTGTGGGGGGTACTCTGGGAGTATGGGGTACCAGGCCCTTTGATACGGGCTGTTAGGTCCCTGTATGACCGGTGTCAGAGCTTGGTTCACATTGCCGGCAGTAAGTCAGGCTTGTTCCCAGTGAGAGTTGGACTCCACCAAGGTTGTCCTTTGTCACCGATTCTGTTCATAACTTTTATGGACAGAATTTCTAGGCGCAGCCAAGGTGTTGAGGGGATCCATTTTGGTGGCCTTAGGATTGCGTCTCTGCTTTTTGCAGATGATGTGGTCCTATTGGCTTCATCAGATCGTGATCTACAGCTTTCGCTGTAAAACCTGTTTTGAGTCTGCAAGAGACCTGAGACTGGGACGGATATTTATCTTCCAACAAGACAATGATCCAAAACATCTAACAAATCTACAATGGAATGGTTCACAAATAAACGTATCCAGGTGTTGGAATGGCCAAGTCAAAGTCCAGACCTGAATCCAATCGAGAATCTGTGGAAAGAGCTGAAGACTGCTGTTCACAAACGCTCTCCATCCAACCTCACTGAGCTCGAGCTGTTTTGCAGGAAGAATGGGCAAGAATTTCAGTCTCTCTGTGCAAAACTGATAGAGACAAACCCCAAGAGACTTGCAGCTGGAACTGCAGCAAAAGGCGGCGCTACAAAGTATTAACGCTAGGGGGCCGAATAATATTGCACCCCCCACTTTTCAGTTTTTTATTTGTTAAATAAGTTTGAACATCCAATAAATTTCATTCCACTTCACGATTGTGTCCCGCTTGTTGTTGATTCTTCACAAAAAAATTAACATTTTATATCTTTATGTTTGAAGCCTGAAATGTGGCAAAAGGTTGAAAAGTTCAAGGGGGGCGAATACTTTCGCAAGGCACTTTATCTATCTTATTCAGTTTCTAACATAAAGATTCATTTAAGTTTTCCAATCCATAAATATTATTTTACAGCATTTAGATTTTTATGTAATTGTTAAAAATAATTCAGTGACAGAGGGTTTTAATTAAAGCATCCTCAAACCTCACACATAAATAAAAGCATAAATCAAATACAACTGACAGACTAATGTTACTTTGATTGCAGCAGGGTCATGAGAAAGTGTAGATTACTTAACAATATTACATAATTTTATAATATCCAATGAAGTACACTTGAAAATTTATTAAGGAAGAACAATGAACAAACAAATAATAATTTTATTCTACTTCTTTTCAGTGAATGGCAGAGTCATATGTTGGACAGCTTCGTACAAAGGGCTCCAGGATGTTGGTTGTGCAGCAGCTGAGTTCACAAACAGCATTTTAAATATGATCATCACAGACATGCAGCCGCTGTCCGTGGTGGAAGATGAAGGATCCAGAAGATCATCTCCACCTTCAATACAAATGATGTCCTTGTTCCAGATCCTACTTTGTAAATTCCATTCAAATTTCCAATCCATAAAAATTATTTTACAGCATTTAGATTTTTATGTGATTTTTAAAAATAATTCAGCTTAAGCAATAAAATATTTTAAAAAGAGGAATTAAATGGGTTGTTTATTTAATGTTTTTATACCACTCATAAAATGAGTACGGTAGTTACTGCAGAACCTGACAAACTGAGTTTTCGATTACCCGATTAATCGTCAGAATAATCTACAGATTACCCGATTACTAAAATATTAATTTATAACAGCCCTAAAATAAGATGAGGAGCCCCATCATCCTGGAGGTGCTCTTAGTAGAGCTGTGCTCCTCTGCATCAAATTGAGTCTGTTGAGGTGGTTCAGGCCTCTGACCAGGACAGGTGCCTCCCTTTGGAGGGGTCCTTCTTGTACACATCCCACTGGGAGGAGACCACAGAGCAGACCTACAACTTGCTGGAGGGACTACTTTTCCTCTCTGACCTGGTAACACCTTAGGTTATCCCAGGTGGAGATGAAGAAAGGGATGTCTGGATTCCCCTCCACAAAATGGACACAGATAAGCAGCAGATAATGGAAATAAAATCCATTGCATTCCACTAAAGTGCTAGTTCCCCATCTCTCCAACACTGACCACCTACAGTAAACTGTGTTTATATGAGCAGTAGATATTTAGAGACTGGAAGTGAGAAAACAATTATCCTACCTTCCAGAGAGATGCGGTGCAGCTCATACAATTTTGGGAATCGCCTTTTGAGGAAACCCTCATATATGGCATTCGCCCTCTGGAGCGTGGGGGAAATGTAACGTTTGAACACACCTGGTCTAATGTTGGACGATGCAAAATGTCTGCACAGGTACAGCCTGGAGGTGAAAAATATGACATTTAATCATTTAAAACAACTCGAGGAATGACACTTCCTGCAAAAAATGTACTGTGAATGCCTATTGCAAAAGAACTTGCTGAAAAATTCTGAAATTACGATAGCTAAAAAAACATGCTGAAATGTAGCTGAAATGGAACAAGCCTATATTAGCAAAAGCAAAAAGAACACATATTTACTGGTTTCAATAAGCAGAAATGAGTGCAAAAATTTGGAAATTAGCAACAAGAAAAAAAGCTGAAAAGTAGCTGAAAAGGCAGAAAAAGGTTTAAACTACCAGAAGGAAGAGGAAAGAGCTGAAATGAGCTAAAAAAAAAAAAAGATGTGGAATTAGCTGACATTTCTGAAATTAGAAAAAAAGTCAAAAAGTAGCTGAAAAACAGGAAAGACGCTTAAACTACCAGAAGGAAGTGGAATGAGCAGTAATGAGCTCAAAAGATGTGGAATTAGCTGAAAAAGCTAAAATTATCACAAAACAGCTTAATAGTGGCTGAAATAGCAGAAAAAGCTGAAACTGAAGCTAAAATTAGCAGAAATTACAAAGAAAAACTTGAATTTATCTGAAAACAGCTGAACTTAGCTAAAAATGCTTTAAAAAAAAGTAGCTGGACCGGTAGAACAAGCTTAAATTAGCAGAAGAAAGCAGAAAAAACATGTTTACTGAAAGAAGCAGAAATTAACACAAAAAGTGGAAATTATCTGAAAAAAGCTGAAATTGGCAACAACAAAAGAAAAACAGCTGAAAGGTAGCTAAAAAGGTAAAAAGAGCTTTAAATTACCAGAAGGAAGTGGAGAGAGCACATTTTTACTGAATTAGACTGAAAAAAAAAAAGTCCAAATGAGTGCAAAAAATGTGGAATTAGCTGAAAAAGCTAAAATTAGCATAAAAACAGCTAGTAGCTGAAATAGCAGTAAAATCTGAAACTTGCAGAAATAAGCTGAAAGGAGCATAACAAGCTGAAATTAGCAGAAAGATGTTAGAAGAAGCACAAAAATGTTGTAGTTATCAGAAAGAATCTGAAAGGTGCACAAAACAGCTGAAAAAACAGCTAAAGAAGCTGAGCCAGAACAAAATGTGAAAGGAGCAGAAAAAGGTTGTAAACAGATCTAAAGATATGAAGGATGTAAAATGAGCTCAGTTCATTTTCTATGAAAAAAAGGCAGAAAAGGCTAAATATTTCAAAAAGCTAAAGTTGCACCAATACCAAAAGTCATAACAGGATTGTCCTGAAAGAGCTGAACGTTTATGATTTGTCTAAATAGTTTGAAAGCTGCAGGACGAGAAAGACGTACGGAAGAAAAATTAATCACATTCACACCATCCATGACTTAACATATGAACTCTACTATTACACGTTTGGGTTCCAATGACAGTCTTTACTGATTAACACTAATTATTCAACATGCAGCGATATTCAAATGTTTCTTACGGCTCATGTTAGCGGTTAGCTTAGCAGACGTTCAACAAATGACACCAAAATTAAAAGACCAAAGAAGAATTCGTGAAAACTGAGGACATACTTGGATTGATAAGACACGTCTCGGGAATAAAACCCATGTGTTATTCTATTGGTACAGAAACCACACAGCCGGATTAAAGACAACTGACCGGACAGTCCGGAACAGGACAGCGCCATGTTTGACGCGCCGCTAACGTAACGACCATAGATATATAAACACTAGATCCCGCATTAGCAACTGCAATGCAGATAATTCGGCCGCCATCTTGGAGCGGTCATCCTTCTTATTTGGTTAAAGCAGAAGATGCCTCAGCACTTCGCAGCTTATTTCTGTTCAAGTCGACGGACTGTTGACATCAGGTCTCGGGGGATAACTTTTCAGATTATTGTTAGTATTTTGTGAATAGAATATTACTGTACTGTACTTATTTCAGGGCAGCACGGTGGCGCAACCGGTAGAGCTGCTGCCTCTCAGTGAGCAGGTCCCTGGTTCAAACCCCGGTCCGGGGGCCTTTCTGGGTGGAGTTTGCATGTTCTCTCCGTGCATGTGTGGGTTTTCTTGGGGTAAACAGGTGTTCTGTCGGTTAGTGATACTCATCAGATTGTCATAAATTTAGTTAATGCGTATGCGCGCGCATTCAGCAAGAAGCCCTCCAGAGCCCTGTAAAGAGTTTTATTCATGTAGCAGTATAGAAATATACCTGGCTAGAGACACGTCTCTTGTGGTTAAATGAGGCACAGAGTGGAGGCAGCAGTGCTTCTTCTGGCACCTGGTTTCTTCTTCTTGCTCCCACTACGTGGCTCGCAGACCGTGTGGGGTTTGATTTTGACTGAGCGTCAGATCGTGTTATGCGTGCTGTTCTGGTCTTCGTGGGGTGGGGTAGGTGTCCTCTCTTGGTGCACTATAGTTGATCTTTCTGGTTTGATTGCAGGTGAACGCCAAGATTGATGCTTTCCTCCTCTTCCTTCCTGTGTGTGTGAGTCTGCATGTGTGTGTCAGCAGGTGAGTAGCTGAGTCCCGACTCACATTGTCAGTTTCAAGTTCAATACCTTTTGATAGTGATCAGTTGACTGACTCTCACATGTGTTTTGTCTCTAGTAGAGGACTACAACTGTCTGGTTTCTCCAGATTACTGCACTCGTCTCCAGACGCTCGTGGCTGCGTCACTGGACTCCTCGACACACCGATGTTTGGGGTCCCTGAGAACTCGTGTCAGTGGCGTGGTTAATTAGCTACACACCTGGGTCTGGACCATAACTTTTAAACTGAGTATTTGGTTTAAGTTTAAATAATTTCTTTAAATAGTTTCTTCATTTTGTTTGTTTACAGCCCATTGACTTTGTGAATTACAGTCTATAATGTAGATATTTAGTTTGGCTGACATGAATTTATTGTTGGTAGTTGGGTCATGTATTTCATTGAGTTATGTGTCCATCCATTCATCCATTGATCCATTATCTTTACCCGCTTCTTCCATTTTTGGATCACGGGGGTCGCCGGTGTCCAGCAATCACTGTGCGAGGGGCTGGGTACACCCTGGACATGTCTCCAGTCCATCACAGGGACACAGAGACAAACGAGACAAACAACCATTCACTCTCTCTCACCTAGGGACAATTTAGAGTTACCAATCAGTCTAACATGCATGTTTTTGGTCTGTGGGAGGAAACCAGAGTACCCGGAGAAAACCCACACATGCATGGAGAGAACATGCAAACTCGACCCAGAAAAGCCCCCAGACTGGGATTTGAACCAGGGACCTGCTCGCTGAGAGGCAGCAGCTCTACCAGTTGTGCCACCGTGCCGTCCTCATTGAGTTATTATATTTGTAATTTGTTTTCTTTTTGATTATACTTGGTTTGGTATTTGATCTTTATTAATTTTGTTATTTTCTTTTCCAGTTGCTGGGGTCCGGGGCTGTGCTGGTTTGGTGGTCTTCTTCCAGTAACCTCAGCTCCTGGGTTTTGTTTTTTGCTAAACTGTGTTTCCTTACCATACTTTTTGCTGTATAAGTCGCACCTTGTCCCTCTGCGCTTCCGCTAATCGGCTTTTGAAATGCAGCAGATTCGATCATCAAAGTGCATTTATTAAAGAAAAGTTCAACTGAGACACACCTTTGCTATAATTTCGAGCAAACAAATAATTGTTTTTAAGTGTTAATCTTGTTAAACTCTTGTTAAAGTCCTCCCATGCACGCTCCCGCAGCCGCCATTTGGCAGCCAATAGATTTTTGGCACAACACCGGCCCACATTTCCAGGTTGTCAGCGGTGACGAGTAACAAACACGATGCATCAGCAGTGATGCATAATAGATGCGACTTGTATGACAAAGCAACGTATTCATGGTTTTTTTCCACTTTAGATCTATTTGGACTGATGCGACTTATACGGCGGTGCGACATTTATGGCGGCAAGGACGGTTATCTTTTTTTAAACTTAAAAAAAAAAAAATTCTAAAAAATAAAATAAAATCTTATAATAACAAAACCAGAGATGAACAGATGTGTTAACAGCTCAACTGTTTTTAAAGGTCAAATTAACTCGTCAATGACTCCTCGAGAACCGAAGCATAATCTTCACCTATATGACTTGTAAATAAAGAAGGGAAAGCTTTTTCTGAATAAATCACCTTTTTAAATACCATTGTTTATTTCCTAAATCAGCATTCTATTACCCCATCAGAATATGAGCTAAATAAATAAATAAACAAATCACAAAGAAGCCATCTGTCATCAAAAAGATAAGACCATCAAAAATAAATACAAGCAGTATTAAAGTTTCAAGCAAAAATAGCGTGCAATGTTTATTACTTAATGGGGATAGTGATCTGCTACTCCCACATCAATTTTTTGCTCAGTATTTGTAAAACTGGCTAAGTCATAGCCGTTATGGCAGCCATCTTGAATTGGGCTGACTCCAAAAGTTAATCAGTTGTAGATGTCAAATTATTGATTGCTTTATGAATGTTTCTTTAACATTTGAAGAGGGAGAGGAGCTGCGTGGAGCTGGTGGACCAGGAGACCTCCACATACTTGCTGTCTAGCCAGAGGGACAGGCTGCTCAAAAACAACAACTAGCTTTGTGAAGTTCTTTCGTGAACCAAATCCCGAGTCAACAGTCAGGAACGCATTAATAGCTGTTGCTGGGTTTGCCACGGTTCGAGCAACTCTTGCCTTGTTGATAAGTTGGACACAGAGACTGTGGATGCTTCTCCTTTTTCATCACCTTCGTCTTTTGTTTGGATCCAAGAACTACTAACAGGGCTCTCCTGTAAATGAGTCCTCATGACTCAGTGTGACTAACCTGTCTAAATAAAGCTTGAATGAAAAAAACCAATTGTTCTGTGGTTCATGAGGTATTATGAAAAGGTAAACATTAGTATAGAGATGAATACAGAGAAAAACACAGGAAACTTTATTGCTCCTACTTCACATTTGGTTGAAAAAAAAAATCACATGAAGTTGCTGCTGATTTGTTTCATGTTGCTGCTGATCTGTTTCATGTTGCTGCTGATCTGTTTCATGTTGCTGTGTTCATGCGTGCTCATCTGCTCACACAGACTCATGCTCGTGCTGCTGTTTGACGTAATGGTTTTATGCTACTAGTGCTTATTGTATATTTAGCTGATGTTTTTCTTGGTTCATATCTTAGATGTTATTACTGTTTTTCTTTTACATTTTATTGTTGGATGTAACTGGGACCCTGTCTACAATAGCTTTCATTGCTGTGTTTCAAGCCAACCTCCTGTTGGAATCTCAGAGCTTAAAGAAACAGGTCCAGATGACACGATTTAACCATTTTTTGCTGTTATCTACCTGGATGATTGAGCTTACAAAACTTAAATCAGTAAAGGGTTTTAATGCTTTGTACCATGGAGTGAAAATAAAATGATTATAGCCAAAGGTTGGTATTTTGTTTAGTATGTTATTTAGTAACATTATATAAAAAAAGATTACCAACTAATTTGCATCCAACTAGACTTCTAGTCTGGATTAAGCCAGTTCGTCTCACAGATACTAACTGCAGTTAATCACTCGAAGGGCTGCAAATGTCCCTCAGGCCGGTAATGGCCCTCGGGCTGCACTACGGACACCCACTTTCTAGGGCAGTGGATCCCAACCTGTTTTCCTCAAAGACCCTCCTTCTTACAGCCAATCTGAGCCCCTACCCCTCCAAATCCCTCACTACTCCCCTCTCCCAAAAGAGACATTCAGATTAATGTCTTTTATCAAAGTGATAAGAGAATAAAGTACATATTAATTCAAAAAAAAAAAAAAAAATATATATATATATATATATATATATATTACACTTTATTAATCCCATAGGGACTTTAAATGTAGTATTATAAGTAATAGTTAGTTATATAAGTAAATCTAGAATAATGTAAATCATAAAAGAATAAAGTAAATGGTTACAAACTTTTATTTGTAATGTTAATCAGAATTTGGTGAAATTTCAAACATTATAATTAAAAATAAAGCATATTTTTAAAAGTTGTTATTACACAGACAATAAATTGATATGTTTAAATTCTCTAACCTCTGAGCAGCTAGAGATGTTTGCGACTCCCCCCGTGCTCTCTGGCGCCCCACCATGGGGGTCGGGTGTCTGAAGCGAGATTATAATTTTACCGTTACCTTTTTTATTTTTAATCTTTACCTAGAAAACATTAATTATAAAAAATGCAAAAATAAATAAATAAAAGCTTGAAATATTAGACTCTATGTAATGAATATCCATAAAATGTCCGTTTCACTTTCCAAAATATGGAAGTTTGTCAGTTTGTGCTAGGGGTATGACAATCTGACAAAGTATCACTAACCGACAGATACAGCTATCAACAGGCATGCTTTGGAACGTAGATATAAACAAGAGTGTTTATAAATATGTATAATATATAATATAATATATATTATATTATATATATATATTATATAATATATATAATATATCTATGCTTTGGAAACTGAGAAAATGTGTACTGGAGAAGGTCGGACAGATACTGTGGGGCGAGACCATGAAGACATTTGAATACAAACAAAAGAACCTTAAAATTAATCCGGAAACGATTAAAACAATGATGTATTGTATTTTTTGAATCCCACATAAAAAGAAATAATGAAATGACAATAACTTTGTCATTGTTTTGATTATTGGTTCTCTATGAAAAAACAATTGAACGAAAGGTACACTGACCTCTCTATGATTGAGCTTTGAGAATTTGTTCGTTCCTGAAATTAAAAATATAAAGTTTCACTCTTTTGAGGGGAGAATTAAGCCAGTAACTAAAGTCAGTAAGTAAAGTCTCGCTTTGAGCGGTCTCATGCTCAAACAGGTGAGTTTAAACATGACGGCCGCCATCTTGGCTCAGCGTGACGAAGGGGCTGTTGGTCACGTGACTCCGCGCAGGTTAAATGCCGCTGAAGCTGTTGGGATTTGTTGGAAGGAGAGGACGAAGAGCCGAGGTTGTACAGCGTATGTGAAGACATTAGTCACATGTTTTTCGATTATTTTCTTAGGGCTTACTATTTTTAGTTAACGCTACGCGATTTTAAAGTCGATAAAATGTGACTTTTAGGTTGTTTTTACGTAAAATACGGAACATAAACAAGTAAAGTAGCCTTGCGTTGTGTGTCAGTGTTAAAGTTGGCAGCAAGCCACCATGTTCCTCCTACTTTTAGATGTTTAGTTAACCGCTTGGTTAGTTGTTTGTAATATCTGTGAAAATGTAAAGCGTACCTTGTGCCTGTAAAGTGAGTTAATTTGCTTTTAGATTTGGTGCAGGCCTCATCTCGGCCTAACAACATGGCGGCTGATGGTTCTGGTGGGCACATGGTAATAAATGATGGTTTATGAATCCCGAGCTTCAGATACGATAAAACTTTATTGATCCCACAGGAAATTGTTGTGCCAGAGTTTCAGTACAAAGGAACATACACAAGGAATCACAAGTTTTAAAAAATAACAGATTATGAAAAATAACAGAATATAAAATACCAGCAAGGAAGTTCTAAACAGGTCAGGTGCAGACAGAAATATTAAAGTGTTTATTGTGGTGCAGGATTAATTTTACTGCCCTTATGTGTAGAAAGGTGGAGGAGTGGAGAAGTTTGATGGCCACTGGGAGGAAGGACTTCCTGTAGCATTTTGTTAGATTCATCGGATCACTATTACTATTATTCGCATCATTGTTGTTTAACAAACTGTTTCCTCCTTGGATTTTTTTACTCTAGGGTTTTAAGCAGATAACATAAAATCTGTTTAATCTCCAGGTTACACATTTTATTTATTTGACACTTGAGATTTGCTTTCAGTGCTGACTTGAGCTGCATCTTTGTCCAGGTTGGTTGCTTTGGGCAGTCCACAGAGAAGACAAATGGCCAGCACCGTCAGATTCGGGACCACCACTGACCCTTGCAGGCTTGCTTCTGACAGGGTCCAGCAAGCTGAGGCAAATGGTAAAACCAGAGCTTGGGGACATTTTATTATTAATTTGATTGATAAATTGAAATGTTTTGTTTTAAATGTATTTACTTTCTACAGAAACAAAAGGAGATTGTGACCCAGAGAAACTTCTACAGTGTCCTTTTGACAAAAATCATCAAATCCGGGCCTGCCGTTTCCCATATCACCTCATCAAATGCCGCAAGGTGAGTTTTGCAGGGCTTAAAGCGCTCCGGCCGGGGGGGCGGATTTCCGGCTTGAGAGCGAGACAGCCTGTCGGTCTGCCGCAATTTAACTTTAATTGTAGACGGGGATTACATCCAGTCACATTGAAGCTTGCGTTGTCTTGACCAAAATACCAACAGGAAGGCGGGTCTTAGAAAAGCAAGCGTACAGAGCCTTTCCAAAAAATTTAGAATATCATGGAAAAGTTGTTTGTTCTAGAATTGTGCCGCTCAAGGTGGCTGCATGTTTGAGCAGCTCCGTTACTTTCATTATGAGATTTTGCTTTTAGAAACTTTAATTAATCTTTTTCTGGATATAAATCACATTTTTTTTGGATGATTGTTTCCTCTGGTATCAGATGCTGTGCAGCCGGAAGAATTTTTACTGAGACTGTTTTGTTTTTGGACATTTGTTATGATGCGTAACCATGGCAACAAGGCAGTTTTCTACAACAACAGCAGCTGATTAACATCTCAAAAGCTCAAATAATATCTCAACTATGGCCCCAACTCTCAAATGAGTTGAAAAGGATGTTAAGTGGATGCATTCTCATCTACCTGCCAGCTGTGCTTGAGTGCCTGACCACTGAGATCCTGGAACTAGCAGGAAACATGGGTCATGACAGCGGAAGGACAGGATCGTCCCTCAGCACCTACAGTTGGCTGTCCGCAGCGATGAGGAGCTCGGCAGACTGCTGGGAGGAGTGGCCATCGCTCTGGGAGGAGTTCTGCCCAGCATTCAGGCAGTCCTACAGTCCAGGGGAACCGAGAGGCCAGCCGAGTTTGGGTGGACGGATCGGACGGCATCTACAGCCAGTTTCTTAGGATCCACTGTGGGATGGACCTTTACAAGAGCCATCAGCATCTATAACATCTCTTAATGAAATGAGGATAACGAGTTACAACAACAAAATAATTTCTCTTTGGGATTAATAAAGTATTATTGAATTGAATTGAATTTAACTTCCATAATTCTATTCAAAAAGTTAATCTTTAATAGATAATAGATTCAGGGCCCATAATTTAAATGATTTCAAGTATTTATTTATTTTTACATAATTTGGGCTTCCAGCTCATGAAACCCACAAAAACAGGATTAAAAAAATTAGAATACTGTGAAGACATCAGCCCACACTTACTCAGTTTTTGCAGGAAAAAAGAAAGAAATTAGGATCACAGCAAATCCATCAAAATATGGTGCTTTCAAAACGATATGTCAATCTTCAATACTTGGTTGGAAATCCCTTTGCCTTAATCACTGCCTCGATGTGACGTGGCATTGAGGCAATCAGCCTGTGGCATTGACTGGGAGTTATGGAAGCCCAGATTTCCTCGACGCTTGCTGTCAGCTCTTCTTTGTTGTTGGGTCTGGTGCCCCTCATTTTCCTCTTGAGAATATCCCAGCGGTCACCCCTCCTCTGTGGCCCGGTAGCAGCAGAAAGTGAATAACAACAAAGTCTGATTTGTTCCACTTTGGAGTAAGCTGTTGGAGGAAGAATCAGTTTTGTTGTGCGTTTCCTTGACTGATGAAGCCTTCTGGATCAAAGGTGAAACGTTTTGGCACAAAAAAGAAACTGTCCAGATGACCTGACTGAAAAATGTTGGATTGTATACCTGGATTATTGAGCATGGACTTCGTTGTAATTTTATAAACTATTTTGTATCATAGAACCGGCTCCAGGTGATGTGTCTCATGTGGCCTCTTCAACTTGTTAAAAAGACAAATTACATTAAGTTTGTTGTACAACTTGTCTGTACGTTTTAGTATAATGTGAGAAAAAACTGTTATCTTTGAGGTGCAGCTCGTAGCATCAGAGCTTCTCTCACTTCATTCTTGTTTCATGGTGGAGTTGTGGCGCAGCTTTATCACTAAAAAAGCTACGTAAAGAAATAACATACGTTGCTTCCAGCGTATTAAAAATAAAACTAAACCCCTCACCTTCGACTGAGCTGAATCTTTGTGATATAGCAGGTGATGGAGTGGGAAATCTTGCTGGTCTGCTGCTTTCGCTTTTCATCTACCGCACATTTTGCCGTACTTTCAAAATACTGCACCACAATTTTATTTGGCACTTATTTCAAACAACCCTGTTCTTGTTGAGCTCTGTCTTTCCCCGGAACATTGTAGGATCTGAAATGATTTTTAAAGACGAAGGAGCGAGTTGAATCGCGCTGTCCTCCAGCGCCACGCCAGCAGGCTCCATTCAGATAAAGGAGCTGGCTAACTAGCTTGCTGTGCGGTGGTCTATAGAGCCAAATTCTACAGCGGCCGAGTGGACACGTAATGCGATATGCAGTATGCTCAAGTAAAAGTGGACAAAAATAAAACTTAAACATTTTAAAATTGATTTATGGACCTTTAGAATCGATTCAGAATCGCCAGAACTAAGAATCTAGATTCTTTAATGAATCCATTTTTTTCTGCACCCCTAATTTGACTGCATGTATGAATGAAGTGCTGTTTGTCTTTAGTTGGATTAAATGGATGCAGTCATTGTTTGAAAAGGAATCAAAAGGAAACCATTACAAGTATTTCATTTTATTTATTTAAGTTCCTGTTTACAACAAAAGATAATGGAACATGGCTGCTCTGGCTCATTAATTCCTAAAAAAATATTTAAGCGTACTGTAGCTACCTTCATTGGAGCAACTAACTGCTCGATTTTAACTAACAAATAAGAATTTGAAGGTATTGATTCATGCATTTAGATGTTGCATTACTCTTCCCAAAGTGACGGTCCGTCCATTTAATCTGCAGAACCACCCTAAACTGGCCAGCGAGCTGAAAACCTGCCCCTTTAATGCTCGCCACCTGGTTCCCAAGCACGAGCTGGCGTACCACACAGAGACCTGCGAGGACAGGATCCCTGTGGACCCTGAAGACTGTGAGCTCACTGTGTGCTTCTCTCGACACCTAAATTGAACTACCTTTGAGGGATTGCTTTGTTGTTTAGGGAAAACTGTGATTTTATTTATTTATTTGCTAACAGCTGGAAGCACAAATGGACTCTGGCACGTTCCAGTCAGCACATGGGTCATCCCCAACATGTCTGAGGACTGGGACAAAGGTAATAAAATTAATAAAACCTGTTTACTCTTACATATTTTGTAGCAGAAAGACCATAAATGAGCGTTGGTCTGTATGGATAGTAATTAGTTTTTAGCATAGCATGGCGTTCTTGGGTTTCGAACAAACGATCTCTGCCGTTTGAAACGGTAACTTCTGTCTTGCAGAGGTCGAAGACCACGCTGCTGCTCCATTTGTGTGGGGACAGAACGCGGCGCAGAAAAACAAGTAAGTTGTCTGCTGCACATCGTCACTTGACGCTCCGTGTGTATTGTGTGTTAATGTTGTGTTCTTGTCCTGCAGGCTGGACGTCAGGCCCACCAACAACCTCGGTTCAAGCGTCAGGGCACCCGCTACCTTCCCATGGTCTAGTTATAAACAGTAATCTCGAATTGCTGCTGATTAATCGTAATGCGTATGCTTTCTGCACATGCACAAGTCTTTAGTTTTTCATTTTAAAATATGTTCTTAATCTTTTAGCAAATTAGGTAGGTGTGACCGAATAAAATCGTGTCACACACACTTTAAATTGCATCTCATTTTTAGGGATGGGATGTGGGACATTTTTTTATTCCCAGTCTGCAAAAATAGTTACACCAAAGCTGTCTATTCATATTTGGTTTGAAATTCTGTTGGTTCTGGTGAAGGTTTAAAAGTAAGTTTAGCTGGTTCAAATTGGTTACAAACTTGGGCTTGCAAACCTTTTTTTTTGAGTAGAGACTAATCATCTGTAGAAGGCGTTCAGTTTGTCTTGGAGGTGTATGGATGAATCCCTGCCAGTATCTCTCTCAGGTAAACGTGTGGTTGTACTTCTGGATGGATGTGAAAATGACTTGTTTTCTGCAGAATCTCATTTTAACGTGCAATAAACTTCACTTGGTGTTCTAGCACAAGTGTCAGTCTTGGACGTTTCTCTAGAAATATGATGAGCATGTGTACCGGTAGTGATTATAAAACTGTTTCAGTTAAGCAGCTGCTTATCTTTTGCTTTTGGAGTTTTTGCTACTAAAGTGTAATGTTTACAGATTAACTAGAAACGGGAAGACAATACTGAGGGTACTTGTGGTTCAATTTTCATTTCAAACTTGAAAAGAATTGTAAAAGCTTTTATTGTGGTTCAGGTAACCGCTGCATTTTTTTTAAAAGGACCTAAAATAATGTCGGACGAGACATTTATAAAAAGTTTCATAAGATGTGAAAATGAAAATAATTGGGTATTTTCCTGATGCATGCTCAATAATCCAGGTAGAAAAATCTAAAAAAGTTAAATCTGGTCCTCTGGACATTCAAAAAAACAAAACAAAGCAAAACAACAAAAAAATATAGAAACGTTTCGTCTCTCATCCGAGAGACTTCCTCAGTCTGAGGAGCTGTTTTCAGCTCAGTCTCTTAAATAGCACCTTCTCAGGGTGGATCAACCAGTTTTGCTGCTGACAACCAAAACCAGCTGATCACATGGTCAAGAAGGACCATCAGCCTAACAATGGATCATTAGCACACTGATGGCTGTTTACTGTTCACAGAGGGCTGAGTGATACTAGCAATCACAGCATTGTAAGAGGGGGACAGTTGAACCCGGAGGCCTCCACCCCTGTTTAACGATGGACGATTTCTTTTCACAAAGATGGCCTCCTTTACTCCTCTCTCAAACCATTGTTCCTCTCTGTCCAGGATGTGAACATCTTCATCCCTGAAAGAGTGACCGCTGGCCTGGAGATTAGTGTAGACCGGAGAGTCCTGGCCTGATGATGTTGATCTTCTGTGCTGGGCCATCCTTTTGGCCAGTGGCTGTTTAGTTTCCCCGATGTAAGACTGATCACAGCCCACTGCACCAGGTTGCACCAAGTAGAATTCCTCTGGTGGAGATGATCACAGCTACTGAGTCAGCCATCCACAACAACAAAATTAAAGAGGCTGAAGCAGAACAGCTCAGAGTCAAAGTTTCAGCCTGCCTCAGCAATGCCAAACCACCACCTTCCAACATCAGTAGAGAGGAGAGGGATGCACTCATCACTCTCAGCAAGGACAAAAACATCATTCTCCCAGCAGACAAAGGAAGGTGCACAGTGATTTTGAACCAGAAAGACTATCATGAGAAAGTTATGACACTCCTTAGTGACTTAAACACTTAAGAACCTCTGAAAAGAGATCCAGGAAGTGGTTACAAGAAGAAATAGATAGATTGCCTGAAAACTTTGGAGCAGGACAAGGCTATTGACCGTTTTCTGTACCACAGACTGTACCCAGGGGAGGCCACACCTAGTCTGTATGGTTTACCTAAAATCCACAAACAAGGTGTACCTTTAAGACCAATCGTTAGTATGATTAACTCTGTCACTTACAATGTTTCCAAATATCTGGCGTCTGTACTCATCCCTTTGGTTGGCAGCTCAGAACACCACATACAGAACACCATGGACTTTGTGGATAAGGTGAGGGATGTCATCATGGAGACTGATGAAACAATGGTCTCTTTTGATGTCACATCACTCTTTACGTGCATTCCTGTTGATGATGCAGTAGAGGTGGTCAGTTTAAAATTAAAATCAGACACCACTCTGAGCAGCAGGACCACGCTTTCCACAGAACAACTGTGTCAACTCTTGAAACTGTGCCTGCAGTCAACCTACTTCACATATGGGGAGCAATATTATAGGCAGAAACATTGGTGTGCTATGGGGTCTCCACTTTCTCCTATTGTTGCCAACCTGTACATGGAGGAGGTAGAAAAGAGATCCTTGACGTCCTTTTCAGGGACACCACCAAGTCATTGGTTCAGGTATGTTGACGACACCTGGGTTAAAATTAAATCTCAGGAAGTCCAACATTTTACTGACCACATCAACTCTGTGGATAAATACATCAAGTTCACACGAGAAGATGTAAAAAATGGCAAGTTGGCTTTCTTGGACTGTGAGGTCTCAGTCTGATAGAGGACATTTGCAAACCGAGGTGTACCACAAACCCACCCACACAGACCAGTATTTGCAGTTTGACTCCCATCACCCTTTGGAGCACAAGTTAAGAGTCATCAGGACTCTGTATCACAGAGCAGACAGTGTCCCCACTAGCTCAGGAGCCAGGCAGAAGGAGAAATCCCACACAAGACAGGCTCTAGAGCAATGTGGATATCCTAACTGGGCCTTCCTGAAAGCAGAGAAGAAACCCAAACAGGACTCCAGTCAGCCAACAGGTGAAAAGGAGGAACCCAGACCCAGACCAGTGGTCATTCCATATGTTGAGGGAGTATCAGAGAAACTGAGACGTTTATTTTCTAAACATAACGTCCCAGTGGCTTTTAAACCCCAAAATACATTACGGCAAAGACTGGTTCATCCCAAAGATCCAGTCCCCCGGCACAAACAGAGTAATGTTGTGTATGCTGTTCAGTGTCAGGAGGGTGATCAGTCTTACATCGGGGAAACAAAACAGCCACTGGCCAAAAGGATGGCCCAGCACAGAAGATCAACATCATCAGGCCAGGACTCTGCGGTCTACACTCATCTCCAGGCCAGCGGTCACTCTTTCAGGGATGAAGATGTTCACATCCTGGACAGAGAGGAACGATGGTTTGAGAGAAGAGTAAAGGAGGCCATCTTTGTGAAAATAAATCGTCCATCATTAAACAGGGGTGGAGGCCTCCATGTTCAACTGTCCCCCTTTTACAATGCTGTGATTGCTAGTATCACTCAGCCCTCTGTGAACAGTAAACAGCCATCAGTGTGCTAATGATCCATTGTTAGGCTGATGGTCCTTCTTGAGCATGTGATCAGCTGGTTTTGGTTGTCGGCAGCAAACTGGTTGATCCACTCTTAGAAGGTGCTATTTAAGAGACTGAGCTGTGTAGTATGACATATGCTGGATATATTCATACATTTTTCACGAGTTCTTCATCTTTCTGACTGTGTAAATGTCGTGCATTGAGTTTGACAGAAATGTAACGAGAGAGACGTTATTTATCTTTGACCCATCAAATGAATGCGGTCATTTATTTGCAGAATCAAAGTTTAACATCAAACATTTACATTAATTTGGCAAAATATGAAAACAATAACAATGGCAAGTTCACAGAAAGTGGACAATACGGCGATTGTCCTCACTTCTCAGCAGAACAACAGACATCAATCACACGGCGGTGATTGAGAACTTTGCTTCAGATATTTCTAAAATATCTGTAATGATTTTAGGAGAAAGGAGAGTTTAAGATGGAAAATGGAGATTTATCTTACAGAGAGATGTGTGAGGGAATTTATCTGTAGGACCAGAACAACACGCTCTTTGGGGAATCAGCATGGCTACGGTACGCTTGGTCGGAGTAGAACCTTTACCTGGTTGATGATAAAATCAGCGTCGGCGTAGGGTTCCTTTCTGACTCTTTCAGCGTCTCCATGAGGACTGCCAAACCCTTAGGAGTCGTGCGAGGTTATCCAAACAGAAGTTATAATCCCCAAAATCCTCTCTGCCTCCTATATTGTCAGAATTCTGAACTCCTTCAGAACTCTCTTCAGAGAGTTAAACTCTGGAACTCTTCTCCCTGAGCTGCATCAGAGAGTTTTTCATCTCTCTTCTCCAGGAGAACTGTCACTCTTTGTAACTCTTTAACTCTTTAACTCTTTAACTCTAGCGAGAACCGGGAAGTTGCCACATTTAAATGGGTTGACTTCCGGGTCATTTTAGAGCTTTCTGATTGGTGGATGGACCAGATCAGAGGTGTGGTTTGTGATGTAAGGTGTTATCAAAGTCAAGGGCAGAGAATGAGATTGTTTAAAACAGACAGAAAGATTATTGGAGAAAACCAGACTTTGTGGAGTCAAACTCTCCTGTATCTTCTGTGAAAGTTAAACATGACATTTCTTCTCGGTAAACATTTTAGTTGACCGAAACTCGACCTTTAACATACTTACAAATTTGCTCATTGAAGACAGAAAAATCAAGAAATGCATATTACCCTGATTTCTTCTTTGAATGAGGAATAAAAATCATTACTTACTGTTTATGTAAATAAAATGAGTAGTTCTCTTCAACCTGTAAACATTGAGTGAACTAACACAATTTGATTATCAAACATTTGTAAAATAGTAATGATTATAGAGAATTGTCTTTTCTACTTGATTAATTCAAGAAAGAAAGTCTCCAGATGGCTCAAACTGTATTTCTGGATGCAGATCAATGAAATAACAGTCTCTGTCCATCTGGTCAGTTTTGACATAGGCCTAGTCCACTACAGTCCCCCCTTTGGAAATCATCGCCTGTCCATGGGGATGAATTCCAACCGTGAACTTACGCCTTCAAATGTCCTTGAGCTTGATGTAATCCAGCAAGGAAAACAAAGTCAAGGTAATTCCACAATGTTCTTGGTAATTCCATTGTGTTGATGATAATTCCATAATGTTGTTAGTAATTCCATTGTAGCAACGCTTTAACCCCTTGGAAACAGAGTCTGTAATCCATTGAAAAAGTCATATAATCCACAACGGTAAATCCACAACGATTG